TGAATTGAAAAAAAAAAAGGACATGGTTCCTTAGTGTAGCGGTTAGCACGTCTGCTTTACATGCAGAAAATAATAATAATAATAATAATAATAATAATAAAAAACAGCATTAGAGGAATTTTGAAAATAGGAACAATTAACTAGAATCCACAAAATTTAAGAGAACTCTTTGCACTTTTGCATAATTCCTTCAAAAATGTCCATATGTTTATGTATTTAAAGAGTTGTTATCATCATGCCATACCATTTTGTGTCCTGATCTTTAATGTTATATCATAAGCACTTTTCCGTGTTTCTAGATAATTTTCCCATTCATTATTTTAGTGGCTTTGTAATATTTCATTAAGCTAAATGTATCAGCATTAGCTTTAAAGAAAAACAGTTGACAAAACACTCTAGGGTCCTGTCATCGTCTGGGCATTTCTCCTAATACATAGCTTAATGTTGTTTTGTTACATCACACATAGCATAATAGAAAACAATGTGCTTGACAAATGGCAATGAATAGTATATGTGGGGAATTAGGAAGTTGCACTGACATCTCTATTTCTTCTTTCTTTTACAGAGTCCACTTTTTTTTCTTCTCTTTCATTTCTGTCATGTTCCATACTGATGTCGAGATCTAGTATCCTTGCTGCACTTTGGGGATTTGATGATAATTTATTCCTTGCCTGAGACCTTTCAAATGAGAATAGTGAACAAAAAAGTATTAAGTACTTCCAGAACTGGCTCCTAAGGATGAATGAGGTGTCCCTGACAGCTTCTTTTGTTTCCCAATGTGGTCACTCACTGATACCTACTACTTACCCAGATGTGACATGCTGATGTGACATTGTTACCAGTTTTTTTTTTTTTCAGTTATGCTCACAGGCTTACCTTAGGGAGAAAAAGTGGGAGCAGGGGTGAAGAAGTCTTTGCCTCCTTGCCTAATGTCAAGATGGAAAGTTTCCTGCCAGTTGATATGCTCATTCCCTGTTCCACTGTAGCAAAGATACTTCCAAAGGTGATAGGATGAGAAAGAGAAGGAGAGAGAGAGGGAAAAAAGAGAGAGAGACAGAGGAAAGCACACCTTGGGAGTTAGATATTTGGCAAGGAGGGGCCTATAGAAATTTACTGCCTCTCTGTAAGTCAAGGAAGGCTTCCTAAGGAGGCAGAATTTGGGGAGCTAATTCAATAAAGATAGTGGAGCTAAAAGGGTATTCTGGGAATAGAGTGCAACTTCTTCCTGGTCAGGAATTGGACGTGAATGAATGCAGAACATCTTAAGCATGCCAGTCAATGAGGGCAGCAGCCATTAGTTAAATAAATGTCACCATGGGCACAGACTATCAGTTTTCAGACTGTTTAAAGACACTAATTAACAACTGAAATGGAGTGTGAAAAGAGGTAAATGAAGTGAGATTTTGGTAGAGATTAGTAAAGGACATTGAAGCCAGTGATGAGGATCTTCCTGGAATATATATGCCTAGATGACCTAATTGTAAGCTGTGTTAGGAGAGACAAAGTAGAGGTAGAGTTAGGACCAGAAGTGGTAAGTCAGTCACGACAATGCTCCTCATTAACGACTCAACACTTAAGAAAGGTGTTATGAAAATTGCATTTAACTTTCAGATGAAAGCAAGTGACCATAATTCATTCTCACCAAGAAAATCTTCACATGCTAATGATTTGCAATGAGGACAGTGACCATTAGTTAAAAATCTACACCAGTAGATTCAAAATGGAAGACTATGGCTTTTTTTTTTTATTTTGTCTTACAGTGTGCCCTGAATCCGATTGTGTTATCTCAGTGCTCTCTTATTAAACCAAGAATCTTCTATTGATTCTTGCATGTTATCAATGGCTAGCTGTATTAATTTATCTATTTATTCACAAATGTGTCCTGAATACTTACCCTGTTAAAAACACATGCCTGGACACTTGTGGGCTTGTTGGCTGAGCTCATCCAAATGATTTCTCTTGGCCAGCTACCTTAGATGGCTAAGACATTGCTTTAAAGAATGGTTTGGTTTTGTCAATCTCTGTTTCCTTTTGGGAACTTTTCCTGATGGGGCCTCTGTTGCCATATTGTTGTCAATGATATGAAGATCTTTTGAATTGGTCCTATAAGAAATAGAACTTGAGATATATGAATAGATCCAGCTAAAGCAATAACTACTAAAATGAGTGAAAATATTTGTGCTTAACCAGCTTGTGAGAGAGTTCTCTATGTCTTTTGGGGTCCTTGTCATAGAGAATGATGGGGAAAGCTCCATACTCTGGAGTCTTTGTACTCTGAAGACCTTTGCTTGACATCCATCTTTCTTAATTACTCACTGGTGGAGTGGCTTCCTTCTTTAAATCTCAATTTCCTCGTATGAAGAAAAATGAAAATGATTGTTCTCTATCTACTTCACAGAACTGAAATGAGGCTCCCAAGTGCTTAGTAAGTGGTAAAGCCCTCAAGAAATCAGAGATATCCTCAGCCTGGGCTTTTTCTTTGTCTGTAGGGCTACCTGAAGCAATGCCGGAAGAGAAGGGACATGTTCAGTGATGAGCAACTGAAGGTGATCTTTGGGAACATTGAAGACATCTACAGATTTCAGATGGGTTTCGTGAGAGACCTGGAGAAACAGTACAACAATGATGACCCCCACCTCAGCGAGATAGGACCCTGCTTCCTGGAGCACGTAAGCATCTTCCTCTTTGTGGGGAGGGGTTTGAGAGAGGTTAGAAAGCAGTGGAAGGAGTATCTGAGCTGTCTGGTCCTTCTCAGCTGCATTGTCCTGTGGTAGGGTATGGATTCCTCTCTGACTCTGATGGTGACACCTTTGCCAGGGTATGAGGACTCTTAGGAAGGCACTGTGATTTGGCCTAAGACTCTTTCTCTACCTTTCTGCTCCAGACAGTTACCAGTAGGATTGTTCTTCAACTTCTCTTTCCCATTCCTGTTGGGTTAGTTTCCATGGGACCCATTGTTTTTGGAAGGACTCTGAAATTATTCACTGCATGGAGAATCCAGGAATCTGAGAAATAGGAGAGGCCATGGTCAACATGAAAGTAGGCCTCTTGGTCTCCCATTTAGGGGAGAGCACTAGGATAGGAGAAGTGACACGTGTAGGAAAAAGAGATCATATGACTTAGAGGAAGGAGTACTAAGAACTGGGAAAGTGAGGATTTGAGTTCTGTGTCTGTAATGACTGTCTGGGTATCTTTGGGTAAGTCCCTCACCTTCTTTGGGCCTCCTCATCTGGAATATAAGAAGGTTTCACTCTATAGCCCGATGGTTCTTTTAACATCTTTTGATTCTCATTCATAGATGATCTAATTGTTTTTGATAACTCTTTATCCCCTTTTTATAGAGTGTTTTTAAAGAGATTATATGTGCACATGATACAAAATTCAAATGGCACATAAAAGTGTGCAGCTAAAAGTAAGTCTTATTGCAAATATCTCCTGCTTTACTTATGGGAATGTGTGTTGGGGGAGATATCCCTAAGACTATCCCTATGTTTAATGATTTGCTAGAAGGACTCACAGGACTCAGCATATAGTCATACTCATGGTTATGATTTATTACAGCTAAAAGATACAAACCAAAATCAGCACAAGGAAAAGCCACATGTGTTAAGTCTGGAGGAAACCAGGCTCAAGTTTCCAAGAGTCTTCTCTCAGTGAAGTCACACAGGTTTGCACTTAATTCCCTTTGCAATGAGATGTGACAACACATGTGAAATGTCTACTAGGAAAACTCATTAGGGACCCATTGTCCAAAGTTTTTAGGTGGGGGGGTGGGGCTGGTCATGTAGGCACCCTCTGCCTAGCATGTACCCAAATTCTAGACTCTAGGAAGGAAAGGAGGTTTCAGTATAAACCACATTGTTTGTACAAACAGTTTAGGCACAGTGAGCCACCTTTGTCAGGGAATGGTAAGAATCTTCTTGAGATCCAAGTTCCAAGATGCCAATTAATGGTCATCATTTCAAGCAGGTCTTTCTAAGGATAGCAGTCATAGGCCTGATATGTTAACTCTTTTCTGCACAGTATTTAAACCAGTTCAGCCATTCCAGAAAGCACCTTGGAAGTATTTGTCGAAGTTAAGCATGTGTATAACCTAGTGGTTTCATTCCTGAGAATGTATCCTAGAGAAGTTCTTACAGAGGTCTATGAGGGAGCACTTACAAGGCTGTTCATTGCATGGCAGTGTTATGCGTAGTGGAGTGCAATTAGAAGCAATTTAGGTATTTATCACCAAGGGAGGGATATGAAACGGACAGAGGATGCCTACTGTAGGGTACTATGTAGCAAGAAACAAAGTAAATATGTCAACATTATAGCAATGTGTATAGATGTCATAAACATAGTGATGAATAGGGTAAGTAGAACATAGAATAGTGGTTCTCAGTTGAAGCCTGCTCTATGCACTATAGGGTGTTTAACAACATTTCTGGTCTCTACTCAATGGATGTCCAGTATTAACTATCCCTACCCCAATTGTGACCCCCCAAAAAAAAAAAATGTCTCTAGACATTGTCAAATGTCACCTGGGAGACAAAAAGGACCACTGATCTATTGAAAGAATAACATTCTCTTACCACTTAATCTGTTTGGAATTAGAATTTTCATATGTTAAATGAACATTGCATTGCTAGGATAAACCCTACCTAATCATGGTGTATTATCCTTCATGTAGTAGTTTGCTTTGAAAAAAATTGGATTGTTTACTCTTTTATTAATCAGTTCTAGGATTTCATTTTTATCAGCTTTTATTAAGGTATAATTACATACAAAATTCACCAATTTTGAGTGTATAATTCGACGAGCTTTAGCCGGATGTATGTAGTTGTGCACCTATCATCATAATCAAGATATAGAACATTTCTGTCACTTTGTCAAGCGCTCTCATTTTCCCTTTGTAGTCAATCTCTGCTCCAACCCTTGGCCCTTGGCAAATACTGATCTGTTTTCTGTTACTGTAATTTTACTTTTTCTATAATGTCATATAAATGGAATCATATAGTAGTAACCTTTTGTGTTTAGTTTTTTTCACTTAACATAATACCTTTGGTATTTATCCATGTTGAATGAATCAGCAATTGGTTCTTTTTATTGCTTAGTAATAATCCATTGTTTGGATATACTACCCATCCACCAGTTCATTCTATGACACCTGGGTTGTTTACTAGGTTGTTCACATCTGTGGGATTACTAGGTTGCATGGTAAGTGTTTAACTTTATAAGATACTGACAAAGATACCATTTTCCAAAGTTGCTACACCATTTTGCATTCTCATATCTAATATATAAGAATTTCAGTTGTTCCACATGGTTGCCAGCATGTGGTATTATCAGTATTTTTTTTATTTTAGCCATTCTAATAAGTGTTTAGTGATATTTTATTGTGGTTTTAATTTGCATTGACCTAATGGCTAATATTGATCATTTTTTCATGCACTTATTTTCCATCTGTATAAAATCTTTGGTGAGGTGTCTGTTCATGTCTTTTGCCCACCATTTTTAAGTAGATTATTTTCTTATTGTCTAGTTTTAGGAGTTCTTTATTCTGTTTACGAGTCCTTGGTCAGATTTATTTTCTCCCAGTCTGTGTCTTAGCCTTTCATTTTCTTAACAGTGTTTTTGAAAAGCATAACCTTTTAATTCTTTAAAATCTAATTTATTATTATTTTTTTTAAGGTTCATGTTTTTGGGAGTCTTTTTAAAGAAATCTTTGCCTAACTCAAGGTCACAAAGATTTCTCCTATTTTCTTATAGAAATTTCTTACATCTAGGCCTTTTTTAATTTCTTATATTTAGGTCTATGATCATTTTTCGAGGTAATCTTTCTATATGGTGTAAAGTGAGGGTCAAAGATAATTTATCTCCTTATGGATATCCAGTGTTCTGCACCGTTTGTTGAAAAACTATTAATTCTCCCATTGAATTACCTGGGCACCTTTGTCAAAAATCAATTGATCATAGAGTTCCGGTCAAGATGGCAGACGAGGTAAAAGCGGGATTCACCTCCTCTCAGGACCGCATCAAAGTTACAACTAATTTATAAAATAATCAACGTGGAAAATCACCTGAACTCCAGCTGATCATAACACATATGTCTGATGATAAAAAGGAGCCACATCAAAGCTGGTAGGAGGCGCAATGATGCGAATCCGGCTGGGCCAGTGCCCACAGATGCAGGTGTAACACTGGGAGGGAGAGTGTGGCTTCAAAGGTCCCCCATGAAGAAGGGGGACCTCCTAGTCCCATATGGGGGCTCTCCAGCCTAGGGTTCCAGCCCAGGAAAGAGGAGTTTCCAAAAAATCTTACTGTAAATATCAGTGGGGATTCTGGTCAACCAGGTAAGATGGAAGGTGACTGAAATTCCAGACACCACTTTAAAGGGCCCAAGCACAGCCTCTCTCACTGAGGGACACACACCCTGGGTGCCAATGGAGGCACGGAGCCTCGTGCAAGAGTCATATGGGGAACAACTGCATTAGGTGGCTCCAGAATGAGGGCTGGACAGGCAGTCACTATTGTGCCTTAGTTGGGCTCCCATACAGGGCAGTCTACAGATGGGTGCCAGCTTGCCTACACTGAACCCTCCACCCTCGTGGCCAATTTTGAAGCTGCACTTGCCTGGGGGGATCAGCCTGCCCTACCCAATCCACAGATTCCTTGGAGCAGCTTGTCCCCAGGAAGCTGCCTCTTCCCTGCCCCTTTCCAAGGCCAAATATTCAATGCAGGCAGCAGACCTCAGCCAGTGCTGTGAGCTCATTTCAGGTAAAACAGTTTCGGGTAGATCATTGCTGCCAACACGTGCTTGAGTTGATTGTGGAGATCTGTGAGCCAGTCCCAGTCAGCAGCTGGTCTTCCTGTGATTTGTGACTTTTTCGGGGGTATACGGATACAAAAATTATAGCAAGACTGAGGGTGTAATGGCCTGATGGCCCTTGTCTCCCTAAGATCCAGCCCCAACCAACCCACGTAGTGCCCACGGCCTGTTGACAGGCAGCCACCCCCACCCTGCCCTTTCTTGGGGCTGAGCATTTTGCACAGGCAACAGACTTTAGCTAGAGCAGTGCATACATTTCAGGGAAATCAGTTGTGGGCAGACCACTGCCGTCTTCATGAGCTGCAATATCACTTGGGGGGATTGCAGGGGTCTATAGGACTGCCCTATACAGCAGCTGGTCTCACTGGTTTGTGACTACTGTGAGAATACGTAGACACAAAAGTTGCAGCAAAACTGAGGTTGCATTGGCCTGACAGCCCTTGTCTCCCAGAGATCTAGCCCCACCCAATCCACAAAGTGCCAGCGACCTGTTGACAGGCAGCTGCACCCACACTGCCCCTTTTCACATTTGTGCATTCTGCACAGGCAGCAGACCTTGGCTAGCACAGTGTGCAGATTTTGGGGAAATCAGTGGCAGGCAGATCACTGCTGCTAGCATGAGATACAGTATTGCTTGGGCAGATTACAGTGGTTTGTGGACACATTCCAGATGGCACTGGGTCTTGCAGTGATATGTGACTTTTGTGGGAACCTACAGCCCCAGAACTGGCAGAAATCTGGTGCTGTATAGGCTTGACAGCCCTGTGCCTCACTGAGATACTTCCCCAACTAACCCACAAATTATCTGTCGCAAGCCTGTTTCCAGGGAACCCAGTCTCATCTTCTGATTGGGACAAG